TGTATCGATGATGACAATGTTTTTGCCTTTCTGACACTTTTTACGTGGCCGTGGTGGAGGAGCGAATGGCAGAGAGGCGAGAAATACGTCGAGCCGAGGATCAACTTGAGGCTGTGATTCGAGGGCATGGTCCCAGAGACTTGTTACACACCTTCTTCAGGGTCCGCGATAGGATCTGATCCTAGCAGAGCCGTCAGATCCATTGCGTTGGAGACGGCGCAGGTGACGGGGGTTGGGATGCCAGGCCCGCTGGGTGCAGGTTGCAGGTTGCAGGTTGCAGGTTGCAGGTCGCAGGTTGCAGATTGCAGGGTGGGCAGCGGTAGGAAGGTTTTGGCTAAGCTGTTGCTGTGCCTCTGTGAGGAACAACAATGCACAGGTGCTATGAAAGGAGGGCTGCCTGTCTTGGGACGCGACTTTGCCCGCTTGGCCCACGGCTCAGCCTCGGCTCTCTGCCGAAATGCTTGGTGCCGGGCGCGTTACCAGCAAGTAAGAAACCAAATCAACGCGTCCAGAGGACAGGTGGCCGCCTCCATGTGCCTGTGCTCGACATGTCTGTATCTGTGTCTATGTGTGCAGCCTCGTAGATCAGACATGGCATTGACGCTGCAGGAAAAAAAAGAGTGGAGCATTCGGCTCGTGCCCGACGGCCGCCAGCAGCCAGCAGCCAGCGGCCAGCAGAAAGCGGACTGGCTGCACTGGCTGCACTGGCTGCACTGGCTGCACTGGCTGCACCTAGCTGCACCCACACCTGAGTCGCCCAGCTCTTGCTGTGGCTGTGAGGTCATTGCCTAGAAGCTCGGCCGTGCAGCACATCGCTTTAGCGACGTGAGCACGACAAGCGCATAAGCTCCCCAACAGCAACCCCCCCAGCTCTGTATCACTCCGTCATCCGCCATTCTCCGTTGGCGACGATACTCCCTCGTGCTATTTTCTATAATAGCCCTCTCTGCCATCCCCCTTTCCCTCCTGCTTGATACCCATACTGCCCCTTCCCACGCACTGCGCTCTCCACACGCAGACACCGCCAACATGCCGCAGGACCTCAAGAAGTTGATGCCCCAGGCAAAGACCTACAGGACTGGGCCCTACACCTGCGAAGTCCCCAATGCCCCAAAGGTAGATGGCGAGACGGTACCGCGCCGCAACAACGCCGCCAAAGATGGCCTCATCATGAAGCCCCACGACGACGTCTCGACTCTCTACGACATCCTGCGACACTCGGCCGCCAAGTTTGGAAATGCAAAGGCTGTCGGTGCGCGTCGCATTGTCAACGTACACGAGGAGACGAAGAAGGTCAAGAAGATGGTCGACGGCAAGGAGCAGGAAGTCGACAAGAAGTGGCAATATTTTGAGCTTAGCCCTTACAAGTACAAGAGTTTTGTCGAGTTTGAGCAAATGGCTCTCTCGGTAGGTTCTGCTCTCAAGTCGCTGGGCTTCGAGCCACAAGACAGGCTGCACCTCTTCGCCGCCACCAGCATGCAATGGCTGGCTTCTGCCCATGGTAAGCAACCGCGCAACATGCATGCACCGGCACGGCTCTAATCACTTTTACAGGTGCGCTTTCCCAGTCAATGGCCATTGTCACTGCCTACGACACGCTCGGAGAGGAGGGCCTCAAGCACTCTATGCTTCAGACCAAAGCAAAGGTCATGTTTACCGACCCAGAGCTGCTGCCCCGGCTCGTGAAACCCATGAACGAGGCCAAGGACGTCCAAGTAGTTATCTACTGCACAAAGAACGACCCCAAGCAAAAGGACATTGATACCCTCACCCAGGCGCATCCCCACTTGAAAGTCATCAGCTTCGACGACCTGATCAAGCTGGGTGAGGAGAACCCCGCAGAGCCAATTCCGCCAAAGGCAGACGACCTGGCCTGTATCATGTATACTTCTGGATCCACTGGAACCCCCAAGGGTGTTATGATCAAGCACCGCAATGTCGTTGCTGCTGGTAAGTACTCGAAGATCTGCAACTCCAACGCGTCCCATGCTAACCATATGCCCAGTCGCTGGTGTCGATGTCATTGTAGGAAAGTACCTTGGACCTGGCGACGTGCTCATCACCTACCTCCCCGCCGCACACATCCTCGAGTTCGTCTTCGAAAACGCCGTACTCTACTGGGGAGGCACCATGGGTTACGGTACCATCCGCACACTCTCCGATCAATCGGTGCGAAACTGTGCTGGTGACATCCGTGAGCTCAAGCCCACCGTCATGGTCGGCGTTCCCCAGGTATGGGAGACCATCAAGAAGGGCATCATCAACAAGGTCGAGGCAGGAGGCGCGCTCAAGAGCAACATGTTCTGGGGTGCCTTCGCAGCCAAGGGTTTCCTCTTGGGCACTGGCCTTCCCGGTAGTGGTCTTCTCGACGCCATTGTCTTTAACAAGGTCAAGGAGGCTACGGGTGGCAGGCTCCGAATCTGCATGAACGGTGGCGGTCCCATTGCAAAGGAAACTCAGCGCTTCATCTCCATTGCCATTACACCCATGATCAGCGGCTACGGTTTGACCGAGACTTGCGCCATGGGTGCGCTCATGGATCCTTTGGCTTGGAACGAGAAGGCTCTTGGCGAGATGCCCGGATCAATCGAGATGAAGCTGGTTGATTTTGCCGATGCTGGATACTTCTCCACCAACAAGCCTCCTCAGGGTGAAATCTGGATTCGTGGTGGCGGTGTCGTTGAAGGCTATCTGGACATGCCCGAAGAGACCAAGGAAGCCTTCACTGAAGACGGCTGGTTCAAGACTGGTGATGTAGGCGAGTTCAACGCCAACGGAGAAATCCGCATCATCGACCGCAAGAAGAACCTTGTCAAGACGCTTGCTGGAGAGTACATTGCGCTCGAGAAGCTCGAGTCTGTCTATCGATCTGCGCCCATTGTCGCAAACATCTGCGTATATGCTGCTGAGGACCGCCAGAAGCCCATTGCCATCATTGTGCCCACTGAGCCACAGCTCAAGAAGATTGCCGCTCAAGTCGGCGTCACTGGTGACCACCTTGAAGAGCTCGTCCACGACAAGAAGATCAACTCTGCTGTGCTGAAGCAGCTCCAAGAGGCGGGTCAAAAGGGTGGCCTTGCCAGCTTTGAGATGATTGAAGGCGTTGTCCTGGCTGATGAGGAATGGACACCACAAAACGTAAGTATACACGGATACCGTGAACGTGGGAAACAAGATTTCTAACATTCTTCTAGGGCCTGACTACCGCTGCGCAGAAGCTCAACCGCAAGGGCATCTTGGAACACTACAAGAAGGAGGTTGACCAAGCTTACGGCAAGTCGTCTTAGAGTCTTGTAATATCCGGTCGAGTATAAGTGAGTGAGTGAGTAAGTGAGTAAATGAGAGGGGGGGGGGTGAATTGCTTTGTCCTGTAATGTTTCACGATGGGACTCTACTCTTTGACCATGAACGCTCAAATCGATGTAATTATATCCCTTTTAGTATAACTTTAACGCGCGTGGGGTAGCGGCGTAATTTGAATCACAAACATATATTACCACAACACTAACTATATGGATTACTTTAACACTAGCAAATATACCGCTGGGATGCTAACTTGAAGAACGAGCGATGTTGCTTGTACACAACATCGCCATGGTCACATAGTCCGAAAGGAAAAGTAGATCATGCGCCAAAGATACGCCCGCTTTACTGCTTCTTTGCCTCGCGCTCAGCCTTCCTGAGTGCACGCTTTCGGATGTTCTCGTGCATGCCTCGGTTGACCTTGACAACCGTGTGCGAGCGCTCACCCAGGAAGCGGGAGAGGAACCAGTGCATGAGACCGTGGCTCCAGTAAGGCGTGCTTGTAAACGCCACGCCCTGCGCGCCTCCACTCCTGCCAACCTTGCTAAGCGTAGCGCTGACAAACTGCTTTGGGTTCGGCACAAGGGCAGATGTCTTGCGGATCTTGGACATGGCCGTGGTCACAAGGTGAGACTGGACACATTGCACGTAGACGCCGTGGGGTTCGAGCTCGGATGCGAGGGCCGTGGACCATTGCTGGAGGAATGATTTGCTTCCGGAGTAAGTTGCAAGAAGCGGGGTGGGGAAGAAGCCACCGAATGAAGCCATGGTCAGGACCAGACCGCGCTTGCGAGAGACCATGCCGGGAGTGACGAGTTGTGTCACGCGTAGTGTAGCCATGCAGTTGATCATGATGATGTCGGTCATTTCTTGCTTGGGTGTCTCGATAAACGGTACGGGAATGCTGTGACTCAGCCCGACGTTGTTCACCAGGATGCTGACATCGAGGCCTTCAATCAGTTTCTTCATGTTGTTGTAGTCGGCATCCTTGTTCTGGGCAAAGTCCATGGCCAGCGTCTTGACGGCGATCTTGGGGCCATATTTCGAGGTGATTTCGGCGGAGAGGGAGTCCAGCTTCGATTGCGTGCGCGAGATGAGGATGAGGTTGTAGCCTTTGGCTGCGAGTGATAGGGCGAATTCCTTGCCAATGCCATCTGAAGCACCAGTGATGAGGGCCCAGGTACCGCGGGGTCCAAAGGTGCTGAGCTGGTGGTGGGGTCAGAATTGCTCAGTGCTCGCTGAGGTGATTGACAAGGGCACATACCGGCTTGCCTGGTAGCACAAACAAGCTGAGGAGAACTCGGACAGTGCTGATAACGGGTGCTGCAAAAGATGCAATGCCTACGAGCAAGAAGCCATAAACGGCAGCTTGCACGAACGAGTTGCTGGCATCAATGTGCACACCGAGGGTTTCGTTGAGAGCTCCCATGATGACACCGGATCGCAGCAAAAACGAAGAGTGCTACGGAGAAGTGACGAGACAATGCTTAGTATTAACAATAACAAAGTTCCCCCTCTGTTGGTCTTACCAGTCCCTCTTGGCCCTAAGCCCTGCCGAGGTTGGTAGGCGGGCTAGCGCGGAACTAGCCATCGGTGCCGGAAAAACATGTCCCCCATGGACACTTCCTAAGCGAGTCCATAGTGGAAATTGTGAACGACCGACAACGAAAGCACGACAAACCACCCGATCCGCAACCATGGCCACCGAACTCACGTATGTGCTGCGATAAAATGAGCGACATCGACAATTGCTGACTGCGAAAAACAGTGTCCAGTCGGAGCGCGCTTTCCAGAAGCAGGTACTAGACGTCCACTGCGCGATTCGACATGCTCGATACTAACGCGATGCGATAGCCTCACATCTTCCTTAACCACAAGGTCGGCGGACCGCGCAAGAACACCCGCTCCAGGAGATGGTACAAGGACGTTGGTCTGGGCTTCCGTACGCCCAAGACTGCCATTGAGGGTACCTACATCGACAAGAAGTGCCCTTTCACCGGCCTGGTCTCCATTCGTGGCCGTATCCTCACCGGCACCGTCATGTCCACCAAGATGCACCGTACGTCAACTTTTTCTAAAGCCCTGGAGATGCGATTTTGAAAAAAATAAGAGCTCGACGAGGCGAAATTACAGGGATCTGGAAGCATTTTGATACTAACGAACTTCAGGCACCTTGATCATCCGCCGTGAATACCTCCACTTCATCCCCAAGTACTCCCGTTACGAGAAGCGCCACAAGAACCTCGCCGCTCACGTCTCGCCCGCTTTCCGTGTCGAGCCCGGTGACCAGGTCGTCGTTGGCCAGTGCAGGCCCCTCTCCAAGACCGTCCGCTTCAACGTCCTCCGTGTCCTCCCCCGAAAGGGAAAGGCTGCTAAGCAGTTCAACAAGTTCTAGATGCATTTTAGAAAAGGGATGGTGTAACGGTTCATGATCAGCAAAGGAAAGAAATGTGGCTGAGGCGGAGCGTGAATGGTTTTCGATATGGTCGTCAAAACTCGGCATCAGGGTTGAGGAATCTGGAGTCCAATGGGCCATGTATGTTTCTTCAGCTACGATCAATGAAAGTCCTCGAGTGGTCAAACAAGCCACCGAGGCGGGTCAAAAGTCCACAATGCGACTACAGATTGTGCGTGATGGGTTGGAAGCTTTTTGCTTTGTGTCGTGGTTCTCGTGTGCTTCTGACAATCAATGGAAGGTGATTGCACACTATTGCAAGCGAGGAAATGCCTTGCTACGGAAAACCTCACAATAGGTACCCAGAAGCAACTCAGCTGTCCCATCAGCCATCATGACATTAATACCAAGTCACCCCGCAAAAACCCTCCCCTTCCTTCTGTCTAAGCCTTGACATAATACCCCCACTGCATAAACATCCAAATCAAACTCGAATTCGCAACCACCACCGGCCCAACCAACGGCTTGCCCCACCTCGCCGTCTTAAACACCAACCACTCGCTCATAAAGTGTCCCCACGCCACCGCATAACTCCACATGGCCAGCTGATACATGGCCGCATCATTGATATTATACGCCGCGTAGAACCGTATCAGGCACGCAAGAAACGTCCACGTCCCGAACGTGCGCGACGACAGTGCGGTGACGTGTTTTGGGATTGTGGGCGGAGGGTCAATGGGTGTTGGGTTGTAGATGCGCGAGGTGAAGGCGAGGGTGCTGTAGGCTTGGATGCTGTTTCCAACGGATATTACGGAGACCTTTTCGTAGGGGGGTTAGTTTTTTTTTAAGTTTATTTTTTTTGAGTGTGTGGTTGGGACATGGAGTGTGGTGGACTATGTGCAGGGCTGAAGGGGGGGAAGGGGTTCAGGAGAGGGATGGGGGATGGGGGACGTACGAAGAGGAGCCATTTTGGGAGGAGGCCCTCGGCTTGGGGGAGGTAGGCTTGGATTGCTTCCATTTTGGAGGTGGGGGTAGGGGGGTTGCGATTGAGAAGTGCCTAAGGCAGAGGGAGGGGATCTTTAGAGAGGAGACGCGTTGGTGGTGGCCTTGTGTTGTTTGTGGGTTGCCATGGAAGTGCTGACTGCGAGATGGGGATGTGGTCTGTGCGGAGGGAATGGTAGTTTGCCCAAAATTTCTTGTGGAATTGTCAAATTCATTGTGTGATTAAAGAAGACTGCATTGGTTGCGTCTGTAGGTAGGACTATAAGACATACCATGGATATCTTTAAATGGCATCCAGTACAGCCAGAATCGCACCGGATTTTCTCGTCCGTATGCAACATTTATCGCGACCCAAGATGACTGTTGTATGTACACTTGCTATCGAAAGCATATCTCTACTCCCGCGAGCATCACACGATGCGGAACTCACGGCATATCAGACTATCAATAGGAAGATGATAGCCAAGATGAACATGGAGAAGAGACGCGTTTCTGCTATCGGTGGAACGCCTGAAGGAGTTAGTTACCTCCTGGCTGACCCACTGCGTGTCTCATCTCACTGTAATACTCCGGCCTTCGTCACAATGGTCATTGTAAATCCTCTTGTTAACAATTATTTCTTTCTTTCTTTCTTGTAACGCTCAGAATATCCAGAGGTCAATATGCGGAAACCTCTGCAAAAGGAAGCTGCCGAGGCCCAACTTGACGATGAGGCCAACGACGACAGAGACCACGCAGTCGATGGAGATGAAGAAGCACACTTACTAAGAGAAGAGATGGAATTTGAAGACACCGTTCTCCCAGCATCGAAGAAATTACATACGCGTCGACAACGCTTTCTGGACTTTTTGCGCGGGCCGCAATCTCCTCGGATTCAAAGCATCGACCCGTATTTCCCATGGATTCAAAATGGCCCGGTCGAGTGGCTGGAAAAACAGGGACTCAACAGGCCGATTTCACTCATTGCCGTACTACTTCCTTGGCTTCTTATCTTTACCTGGTTCCTGACTGCCCAGCTGCCGCTGAAAGACGGCGATGGCAACGATGTAATCAGCCTAGGCTGCGTCGATACATTGTGGGGACGCAAGAACAAATGCGGAATCGACGGCATCGACTGTCGTCCGTTTAGCAACCATTCTTTTGCTTTCCAATGCCCGGCAAAGTGCAGAGATGTACAGCTTTTAAATCCGCATACCGTTGGACCGGTCCAAGTGAACTACCGCCCTCTGGTTGTCGGAACAGGACTTTATCGCGGCGACAGCTTTTTATGCGCCGCAGCCATCCACGCGGGGGTTGTCGATAACCACCGAGGCGGCGGCGGTCGCATCAAGCTCATGGGAGGTCATGACAATTTTGCTAGCACAAAGCACCATGGCATCGAGTCTATTCCGTTCGACTCGTACTTTCCGCTCTCTTTCTCCGTCATTTTCGACGACGGGTTTCGGCCACCAGCTGACCCCCGCTCAGCCTTGCTTCCCATCACTATCCTCTCCACAGTTGTACTCGCCATATTTTCTTCTTCGCCGAAAATCTTCTTTCCCATCTTCACACTCATTTTCGCCCATGTGAGCTTCGTCTCCGATCCGCCGCCCGCATTGCATCTCAATACGACGGTGTTGCCAGATCATATTTCAATGTTCGCGAAGCGTCTGTTGCCGGCCATGTTCGTAATGGTGGTAATGTATTCCACCACCATAAAGCGGACGCTAGCTGGGTTGAGTGCCCACATAGAAAAGGCTGTATTTTGGCTTGGAGGTTTCTGGATTGGCGCATTATCAAATTATACGTTTGACTGGATTCCGATTTCACGGCTCACCAGCCATGATCTCGAGCAGCAGCCCGGCGCGAAGCTGGCGTTGGCAATCATCATCTTGGTATTGGTTGTAATTGTTGTGGGTCAGGCGTACTGTTTCTGGCTCGAAGGCCGCCTGATCCGCTATCTGGGCCTCTATGGCCTGTTCGTTCTGGCAATCATTGTCTGTTTGATGATTCCAGGTGTCAACTTGCGGATTCACCATTACATTCTGGCACTTTTGCTCCTTCCCGGGACGAGTCTTCAGACGCGGCCTTCGCTGTTCTTTCAAGGTCTCTTACTCGGTCTTTTTGTGAACGGCATATCGCGATGGGATTTCGATTCTGTGCTGCAAACCTCTGCTGCTCTGCGTGCCGATGCAAAATTCGAGTCAGTGGTCCCGCAGATAATGGAACCGTTCATTGAGGTAGAAAATGATGCTCTATTCGTGACGTTCAACTTTACTACGCACCCACCTGACGTTGACGGTATGAGCGTCCTTGTAAACGATGTGGAGCGCGCCCGTGCCTTCTATGACAATGAAGGTGATGGTCTTTGGGATATCTTTGAATGGAAGAGAGATGTGGATAGTGGGTTGAATGAGTACTTCCGGTGGGCCTATATACGGGGCGGCTATACCCTAGATTACTCAAAACCAGGTACATTGTTTGCTAATGGTAGCTGGAGTTCTGAAATCATATAATGAGTTCAAAAAATCTAGATTTTATTCTGTCGCGTCATAGTTTCTCATCCTGAAATCCTGTTGTGATTGTGGTCATTCTTGGGTGCTTAGACACTTCTCACTCGCTACGGACCACTATGATCCATGGTAGCAAATCAGTTGACTTACTTGCATATCTGTCGAGGTGACTACAATGATCTAGGGGCGAAATAGCCTTTATGTGTATATAATGTGTCTTTCTGCTCGTAGTTGGTTTGTTCACTTCAAAGCCTATCCTCACCAGCACAGTTTCCTGGTCCATTCTCTCGGGCTACTTCAAGATGGTGAGTAAGAATCTCACTGTCTATTCAACTCTGTGTAATCGCACGAAACTATTTGACCAACGTGGAAATACAAGAAGTTTCCAATCCATTACACTTCTAACTATGCATTCCAGTACGGCATACTCGTCAATGCTACTGCAATCCTTGCAACACTTGATCCCCAACAGAACAAGAACTGTCCTGCTCAACCTACCTGCCCCCGATGGAACGGCTGTGTCTCTACTGCCACTAATGGTGGTGTCTTCAAACTGAACTGCGCCATTGACTTCAATGGTCCCATCGTTGGCATTGCCCAGGTAAATACAGCCTCACATATTTGCAAGAAGAGATGAAAATACTCACGAGTTTCCACATGCGATGTAGGCCAACATCTTCGTTGACTGCGCCGATGCATGCTCTCGCCACACATACTGCACTGCCTTCAACATGAAGGATAACTTTTGCTACCTTCTCGGCAAGGACTTTGGCGCGCCCCGTATATCGTACTTACACCCTCAACACCACTATAATCATCACTAATCATCATGCAGATTGGATAACGTCAATGCCGGCACCCAGTCTAAGCCAGCGACCGAGTTGGAGCCCGCTCCTGGCAGCTCTGTCTGCGAGACTGACATCAAGTGCCCTCGCGACGACTACTGCCGCTTCAAGACCAACGGACAGTCCTATATCAGCCGCTGCAACTACGACTTCAATGGTGGCGACATTGCTATTAGCCAGACGAAGTCTCTTGGTGAGTGTGCAAATCTGTGCTCGATCTTGAATGGCTGCGTTGCTGCGACTTGGGTTGCTGCAGCTTGGGATGGTGGGATGTGCTATCTCAAGAATGACAAATATAAGGTCGTTTATAACTCAAATGTCGATAGTAAGTTTCTCTACGTTTTGCTGAAGAAGGGTTGAATGTGTTGAGGCTAACGCAACGTAGGTGTTTATCTTGAACGCTAAGGCGAAGCTGGTTGGACGACGGAATAGCATTTTGAGGAGCAGAGTTGTCATCTGAGCTGGTGATGGCTTTGAGCTGGACTTGGATACAAGAGGTTTTTCTTTTTAGAGATTTCTGTCTTGGTTTTCAGGCGGGTAAGATTGGTGGGAATCGCACCTTATTTCCGAGTGTTCCCTTGTTGTAGGAGATCATGGAAATAGGTTAGTTCTCAAACGCATCTATGCACCCAATTATCGAGATACTGAGTAGATGGTCAAATGTATTCATCGTAATCAGGCACTATCGAGGTAAAGTGATGTTGACTGCTCAATTAAGTATTGATAGTGCTGCAGAAGGGACCATGATATTTGGGCGAATATCACGACAATTCGGGAGGGTCATTCTGAAGACCACTTCGCTTAAGACTGGCAGAATAGATTTTGAATTGCAACGAACTGCAAAGATGGACAGATAATTGTTGGGAGTATGAGATAATGGGGGCCCTTATTTCCGCTTATCGCAACTGATAGGTACGCCCCACTGACCATCACAGTGACTCAACCAACCACCGCCTCTATAAAGCTAAGAGCCCCGCAAGAGCCTAATTGTAGTGTTCCTACGTTCTACACCTCAATGGCACTCCAAGACTTGGTATTTGGCGTCATAGGCGCTCACGTGGCATTGACAGCCACTCTGACTCCTTTTCTTATACTATTCCTTCGTTCAATCTATCGAATCTACTTTCATCCGCTTGCACATATTCCCGGGCCCGTATTGTCCAAACTGACATCTCTCTGGCTTCACTATCATGCTTACATTGGTGATGAAGCGAGCGTCATTCACAAGCTTCACCAAGAATATGGCCCATACGTCCGGGTTTCACCCAACGAGGTTGACCTGAGTGACGCTGATGGTATACCCGCAATATACGTATCGAAAGGAGGTTTCCCGAAAGCAAAATGTTACGCAAACTTTGACATTGACGGCCACAAGACTATCTTTTCGACTACCAATCAGGAGTATAGGGCTCACAGGGCGAAAGCAGTGCTGCCACTTTTTTCAACAAAGTCTTTACGTGAGAATGAACAGGCTATATGGGGATGTGTGGACTGTATGGTGGACCGACTAAAGGAAGAAGCAAAGAGCAAAAGACCTGTCAATGTGCTCAATCTCGCACGAAGCCTGGCGGTCGATGCGGTATCTACTCACCTATTTCGAGAAAACTATGATGGTGTTAGCGAAAAAGGGCCGGTGTTGAGTGCCAGCGCGTTTGTGGATGCGTTTGTGGCAGTGGGCCGCTTCTTCTACCTTCCAAACATCGCGTTTGTTTGGCTAGAATGGGTTGTTGAAAAATGGGCGCCTGATCGCGAGACAGATGACAGCATGTCACTAGTCGACAAGTTTGTTGCTACACTGGTTGGGAATACGACTTCGAAATCAACAACATATCCGGGACGTTTGCTGGCAATAGGGCTGAGCGATTCAGAGGTCAGAGCTCAATGCAAGGATCTCATCTTCGCTGGGACAGATTCGACAGGCATGAATCTAGCTACGATAATGCGCAGCCTCGTGCTGCATCCCGAAAAGTATCAAAGATTAAAGGAGGAGTTTACCAAGAATGCCGCCCTGGGACCTGATGCGCAGGACGCTCAGGCACTTCCTTACCTCAACGCTGTCGTCAAAGAAGGTCTTCGACTTAGCATGGCAAACCCTACGCGCCTGCCTCACGTTGTACCAGCTGGTGGTTGGACGTTTAAAGGAACCTACTTTCCTGCTGACTCACTCATTGGTTGTTCGGCATATGAGCTGCACTTCAATTCTATCGTCTTTCCTCAGCCTCAAGAGTTCATTCCAGAAAGATGGTTGAACACCACCGAAGAGATGTCAAAATACTGGTTTGCTTTTGGCGCAGGAAGTCGAGCGTGTATCGCTAGAAACTTGGCTACCATGGAGTTGCAGTTTGCGACTGAGAGATTAGCCAAAACTGGGGTCTTGGATGGAGCAAAAGTAGTTCAAAAGGAGGTTGAGATTTATGAGTGGTTCAATTCCAAAGTCAAGGGCGGTAAAATTGAGCTTGTGTGGGAGTAAGATGGCTGAATGCGAACCGCAAGAGCTTCAAGACATGAGGATATGCGGTTTTTTGTCCGATCCGTACATGTTAGGATTTGCGCATAAAGTTAATGATTTGAGAAACTTTGAGGCGGTGAACAGCGAGAATGCGAAGATTTCCGTATCAGCTGGCACAGACCATGGTAGTAAGCAAAAGATTTACCATCTCTCATAGTTCCTCGGAGCTATTACAAATATGGTCACCCCTTTCTCACAGCCTTCTTCATACCACAGATTCAGTTTCCCTTGAAAGACGATTTGCTAACCGGATTTTTCACTGCAGAATCCAAACTAGGATAGCATGATAGCAATCTTGGTTGGTTGCTGTGAGCTACCTACTCTGTCATGTGGCGTCCAGACTACGCTGAGATCAGTGCGTGGAAAAGCAGATATGTACCGATATTCCGCGGCTTAATGAAATTTCCATCCAAGATCCCGACCTGTTCTCTCACTCATCCCAACCTTATTTTTATGACATAATAGTGTCGATGGTACGAGTCAAGGCGGCATCCGACCGGATGTGTGGTCTCGTTCGAACCCGTTGCACTAATATGGTATCGTTTTGAAAAGCAGTAGACAGTGTTTGTGAGAAGACTTTCAATGTTCTCTAACTTAGTTTTTGCAAAATGCAAAAGACGCCGACCAAGTACCTGAGCCGATTTCAGCGTTCCGTAGTACAGCGTCGGGACTGGCGGCGATGACATCATACTAAGTCATTGCCGACAGCCGTCAGAAGCCATTTTGCGGGGAAACCCCCATCATTCCCCCATCTCTCAACATTGGCCATGCAGGCCAACACTTTTGGCGCAACCTTGCTGACATCCGATCGCTAAACTAAGTACTTCTTAGGAACATTGCCAAGGATAAATCATGCATCTCCGGCTGTACCGTCCAGCCACGTACGTGTACAGACCGGCCAAACTACCCGGGTTATGCGGTTACAATGGCAGGTTGCTTTGCAGACCGATCTTGCACGGCCGGAAAGTTAAAAGTGGGCTGAGGCGCGTGAATTCTGAATTTGGGATCTCTTTGCTTTCGCTGTGGTGAAAAATTGGCCTCGAGAAAATGGCTTCGTTACGATTGTTGGCTACAGCTCTTGTGACAGCAGCACCTCTGGCGAATGCGTTGTACACCAATGGCAGCGTGATCGCACCTTGCGACTCTCCCATATACTGCTATGGTGATTTGCTCCGCGAGATTGAGCTTGCGAGGCCATTTACGGATTCGAAGACGTTTGTTGATTTGTAAGTGCTACCAAGAACATATGCCTCTAATACCTTCTGACGAAGCGTAGACCAACAATACGCCCATTAGACGAGGTCCTCGCCGCTTTCGCCAATCTTTCTCGGCCCATCAAAAACGACACCGCCCTTAATGATTTTCTGTCTGAGTACTTTGGAAAGGCTGGTTCCGAACTTGAGGAAGTACCCACGGACCAGCTAGAGACTCAGCCAGACTTTCTCGACAACGTCAACAGCTCCACCGTGGCAGATTTCACCCGCCAGGTCATAAATATCTGGCCAGATCTGACGCGTCGTTATGTTGGAGCTGGAAACTGCTCTGGCTGCGTTAACTCATTCATCCCTGTGAACCGCACCTTCGTGGTCGCAGGTGGGCGTTTCCGAGAGCCGTACTACTGGGATTCATTCTGGATCATTGAAGGTCTTCTCCGTACTCAAGGATCATTCATTCAAATCGCTGAGAATATCATTGAGAATTTCCTGGATCTTGTCGAAGATATCGGCTTTGTGCCAAATGGCGCTCGACGGTATTATGAAAACCGATCCCAGCCACCACTTCTCACCCAAATGGTTCGCGTTTATGTAGAGTACACGCAAAACTATACGTTGCTGGAACGTGCTCTACCTATCCTCGAGCAAGAGTATGACTTTTGGGTCAATAACCGCACGGCAACGCTTGAACGCGCTGGTAGGAACTACTCGCTAAATCACTACGCCGTATCAAATACTCAGCCACGCCCGGAATCCTTCTATGAGGACTATGTGACTGCCAACAATGAAACTTACTTCAACAAAGAAGGCGAAACGTTCAACGCTACAACCCCACTTACCGAAACTGAGAAGGCTACGCTCTATTCGAATCTGGCGTCAGGTGCTGAAAGTGGGTGGGACTATACTGCTCGCTGGATTGCCAACCCCTCTGATGCTGTTACCGATACATATTTCCCGCTCCGCTCCCTCAACACTAAGGAAATCATTCCTGTAGAGTTGAATTCGATCCTGTACCACAACGAAATAACCATCGCGGAGTTCCATCGCCACCAAGGCAACTACAGCGCCGCACGAGCATGGGCCGAACGAGCAGCACAACGTAGCGAGGCCATGACAACGTTTTTGTGGTCTCCTGAACACTATAGCTACTTTGACTACAACCTTACGTCTAGCAGCAAAAACATCTATACGCTCAGGGACAACACTAGTACGCCCCTTTCACTTCAGGGCGCACCAGAGGGCCAGCAAGTATGGTTCGAGATCTCCCAGTTCTATCCATTCTGGACTGGAGCGGCACCAGACAGCATCAAGAACGACCCAAAGGCCATGCGGCGGGTATACGCCCGGATAGAGGGACTCTTGGAATCACAAGATGGCGCCATTGCAGCAACAAATCTTGTGACTGGTCAACAATGGGACAAGCCAAATGTCTGGCCTCCACTACAATATATCCTTATGCAAGGTCTGTTGAACACGCCACTCGAGGTCGGTGAGGAAGACGACGAGCAAACGACTGAAGACTACGTCTGGACACAAGATCTCGCCCTCCAACTCGCCCAACGCTATCTCGATTCTCTATACTGCACTTGGCGTGTGACTGGTGGAGCAACAGCGGACGTCGCCCAGCTACCTAATTC